GATTCTAGCTAATCTTGTGAGAAGAGGGAAGTACTGTCTTTGAAGTTATAATTTTCCTATACAGAAAATGTATTTCCAATAGGTACTTCCCTCCACTCACATTTCCCACCCATCCTCCCCACACTCTTCTGGTGCTTCTGTCTTCTGCCAAAACTTCAAAGTGATAATACGGTAGAGGTGCATAAAAGGAGTTACATGCATCACATGCGTATATTATGATTCTATTGGCAGAGAGGTGACGCATGATGATTTACATGAGAGACACATTGGAATCACTTAATTCCAGTAGGAGGGAGCAGAAGGATTGTGGCATGTGTAAAGAAAACGTTTGCATATAGAGGGCAGCAATGAACGAGAATAGCTAATCTTGTGAGAAGAGGGAAGTACCTATCTGAAATACATTTTCAGTATTCAGTATAAGAAAATTATCATTTTTATCAGGCAATGAATTTCTAAAATATAATTTTGTTTTCTTTACCATTTTTATACTAAGTATTACAAACACTTCTTCAGAAAACACATTTACACTTTAGATAACTTTAGAATTAATATGTTATTTATACTTAGATGTTTTTCTTTTTTGTAAATCAAGTAAAGAATTAATAAGTATATGCAAATTTAAAAGGTGCTTCTTATATGCTTGCCAAAAATGTGTCCTATGCCATATATTGAAATTGCATTTGTTGTCATTTGTGGTTCCAGCAGAAATCACATCTGAAAATGGATAACTATTCAAAATGTCAGTGATCAACAATGTTGTTATTTTTCAAAGAACAAAGATCTGATTGGAGAAAAAAGAAGGATGTACACAGTTAAAAATCCTGATAAATGCAGGAAAAATAACCTGCTCAAATTAGGGATTGATTCCATAATTTTTCTAGTTCCTCTAATTATGCTTTTACACCACCTTATATAACTTTCAAAATCATCATGTTCTATCTTTTATGCTTTTTTTTACATGAGTTGTGTTACATGTTCAACAATGAAGCTTTGATTAATTTTGTTTTAGTAAAGAGTAGCTCAAAACTTGGTGGTGTTGACTATCTGCATTCCCTCTAGTCTATCACTTCAAAATAAGGGATGGTTAGTGCAGGTAGCCTTTGAGTAGCTTTGTGCAAAAATGCAACAAACAAACAAATACAAGTGTAGTGGATACCTTTGTGTCCAAAAATTAAAATATTATAAATATTGGGCTTGAAATGCAGTAAAACTGTCAGACTGCTACCTCTTGAAAAGAAAAGAGTAATAACAGCAACATGCATGCATTTTTACATTTAGTTAACATTTTGTTCATTATAATAACTGCAAATTATTTTATGACCATTCTAGCTGATAAAAACAAAAATTATAAGCTTTGTTTTATTACTTTGATTCCATAAAAAAATTATATATATATATATTTCTTCAGTCTTTTTGACTTGCGTTATAAAATTCTTCGAGAAGGTCTTCCAACTCCAGCTCTACTTGCAAGTCCTCCATTATGTAACCTGTTTGGTGAGTAATGACAACTCTGGAAAAATTAATGTTTTTCATAGTACTAAGTTAATTATTGATCACTGAAAGTGAATAAAGGTTTATAAAGCTGCTATGATAAATTCATTAGTCAGTGAGAAGAAGGCATCCTGTCATTTAAACAGCCAACTTGAAACGTAAGTTGAAGGCAGGTCTGAACCTTCTGACTGAGATGTGTCAATATAAATACTGAAATGCAAGTCACAGTAGTGATCAAACAGCCAAAATAAATTTTTAATTTATGGCCTATAAATTTTTATCACTTTTAGACTAATATTGTTCTATTAGCATTGGTGTTTGGTATATATTTCCATATGAGATTGTTTAACATTAGAATATTCCTTGTGCTGACTGATATATCTCATGCACCATATGACAAATTGTCTGCATTTCTCATTGATAGAGTAACTGTAATTTTCTGAAAGTAATTTTACTGTATTTGGATTGAGGATAATTGACTTAACACATCATATACTGGTGGGTTTGTTATTAGTTGGCTAGAGTTCAGAAATTTTAGTAATAACTAATAAAAAAAAGTAATAGAGAATAGAATTAATAGAATCAGCTTATAAAAGGAACAAAAGTAATCTTTGTGAAGTTTGTCAGAAGAAAGTTGAAAGTAAATAATTAAGATGTCCAGTCTTTTCTATTTGTTATATCAATTTTTTATGTTAACTATACACCTGGAAAAAAGTTAAGCACCCCCGTGTTTTTTTCAAGTGATTCAGATTCGACGTTCTTGTGACTGATTATAAATTACCATTCAATCTAAACGTGTTTATCAAATGAAATTAT